AAATAAATAAATAAAATCTTTAAAAAAAAAAAAAAACATCCCCTAAATATGCCAACACGTATTATTATCTTCTCTTTTGAAGATCTAGATCTAAAAACAATTATTCCAAAAAAGACTTTTTAAAACAAATCAGCATTCCATCAAGATAAAACCTACTTAAGACCAAAAGTTAAGATTTTAAAGACCTTATTCTCTAGATCCCTTCCTAAATTTTGTTTGGTGGGCCTATGATAGGCACATCAAATGTTCTTTACTTCAGGACTCAACCATATGATCTAACTCCCTTAAAAGGGCCAAACTTACTGCTATACTGATGAGGTACACCAAACTCCTGCAACCATTCTGTTAAAGCTAACTTTAGGGCCATCTGTGGACTATAGAGCACGTCAGTTTCAATATCTTCATCACTGCCTTCATTTTCTAACTTTATCTGGATCGATACAGTACTGTCTTCACTGTCAGCTGCAAAAAAAAGAGAAAGAACACAAAAAACAGTTTTGATTACAAAAGCCTCCTGATAAGAGGAACAAATGCAAAACACCAGTTATTACAGTACAACTAGAGAAACAAAGAATAGGAAAAAGAACAAAACTTAAACATAAAAATGCAAACACAACCTAACTGAACCACTTCACCTATAAGTCATCTAAATGCATTGCTGCATGTAACATCCCACTTGAAATACGGAACACTAAGTTTAGAATCACTGGAAGTCATTCATAAATGTTCACTGAGTACCAATCATTGGGAATGTGAGGTTTAAGGCACTATGATTTCCATAAAGAAAACATTCCCAACCCTTCAGAGCTTATAACTTAATGGGCAAATCATTACGAAAAAATAATAAGCAAATTAATAACTGTATTGAGGGGGGAAGAGAAAAATCAGTAGAGTACCCACATATGAGCACAGATAATAAGCACATAATGAAGCTCTGAACCAGGATAGTGTTAGAAAAAAGAAGGTCTGGGGGCGCCTGGGTGGCTCAGTCCTTAAGCGTCTGCCTTTGGCTCAGGTTGTGATCCCGGGGTCCTGGGATCGAGCCCTGTGTCAGGCTCCCTGCTCCGCGGGAAGCCTGCTTCTCCCTCTCCCACTCCCCCTGCTTGTGTTCCCTCTCTC